AGAAGGGTCTAGGCCCGAAACGTCAGCCTTTTTGCTCCTATGATGCTGCTTGGCCTGCTGTGTTCATCCAGCTCTGCACCTTGTTGTCTCAGATTCTCCAGCATCTGCAGTTCCTAGTATCTCTTAACTCTGGTTCTGTCTACATAGATGCTGCGAGACCTACTGAAGTTCTTCAGTATCTTCTTTATTTTAAAAAACAGATCTCTAGCATTGCAGTACTTTGCTTTGATTTCATGGCTGATCTAGTTTTTACTTCAACCCACTTTCTGGTCTATCCCGTGACTCCCTTGTTAGTCAAAAATCTTTTCCTGAAAGGTAATCAATAACTCCACCTCTACTTTTCTGTGGGAAGAGAATTCCACAGAATAATGACTTGAGAGAAAAACATTCTCCTCATCAAACTTTTAAATGTGACACCCTTTATTTTAAATGGTGTTCCCTAAATTTAACCTCTCCCAAAATGGGAAATATTTTCAGCATTCACCATGCCAAGAGAATCTAATATTTCAATAAAATCATCTCTTATTCTTCTGAACTCCAAAGGATACAGGCCCAAAATGTCCAACCCTTCCTCCACTGATAATCCTTTCATACATAGAGACAGCTGAGTGAATTTCCTCTACTTTACTAACAATGCAATTATATCCTTTCTTAAATAAGGGAACCAAATTTATAAGAGTACACTTGATGTGATCTCAGTAGTACCCGATACAACAGTAGCAAGACCACCTCACTTTTATCTTACATTCTCTTTGCTTTAAACAAAAAAAAGTGATATCTACATCTAGAAGAATGAACAGAATATAGAAACACTACAGTCTGCAAATTCCCCTTCAAACCACACACAACCGTCACATAGAACTTTATCACTGTTATCTCATTGTCACTGACTCAAAATCCTGGCACTCCCTAGTACCGCAATGGATGTCTCGACATTTGAGGACTGCAATTGTTCAAGAAGGCAGCACACTATCATCAAGTGGATTTAGGAGTGGACAATAAATGCTGACCTAGTGAGTGATGCCTACATCCCTGAATGAATAAAAAACAAATTCTATCTGACTTCCTCAATCACTTGCTGTACATGCATGCTAATGTTTTGATTAGTGTACTTCAATCTCTTTGTACTGAAGAATTCTGCACTACCTGTCTATATAAATAATGTGCTGCTTTCCTACCTTCCTGACAAAGTTGACAAGTTCATACTTTTGGATATCATATGCCATGTGTCAATTTTTTGCTCATGTAATGTCCTTTTCACCCTTATATTCTTTTCATAACTTATTTTCCTACCTATCTTTGTATTATGAGCAAATTTAGCTACCAGGCATTTGATCCCTTCATACAAGTCATTGACATAGATTGTAAATAGTTGAGGCCCAGCACTAATTCCTGTGGCATTCCAATGGCTACATGTTTGCAACCTGAAAATGAAATCACAAAACCATGTCAACTTTACCTGATTATTTTGAGAGTTTCTAAGTGCCCAGCTATGACATCCTTAATAATCGATTTTAGCATTTTCCCTATGAGATGATAAACTAACTGGCCTGTAGTTTCCTACTTTCAGTCTCCCTCCTTTCTTGAATAAAGGAGTTACATTCACTATTTTCCAATGGAATCCTTCCAGAATTTATGGAGTTTTGTAAAATTAAAACTAACACATCTATTATCTAGCAGCCACTTCTTTTAAGACCCTAGGTTGAAGTCCATCATGATCTGGGGACTTGTCAATCTTTAGTTCCTATAGGCTTGTCAGTACATTTTCCCTGGTGATTTAAGTTGTTTTAAGTTTTTCCCTCCCTTTCACCTCTTGATTTGCAATTATTTCTGAGTTGTTATTTGTATCTTCCATAGTGAAGGCAGACACAAAATATAGGGGACTTGACAGTGTAAAAGCAAAAACATAGTTTATCCATGTTGGCGGGACTAGGACCAGAGGGCATAAGCTCAGAATAAGGAGTCACATATTTAAGACAGAGATGAGGAGGAATGAATCTGGAAGAAGGAGTGAATCTGTGGAATTCTTTACCATACACAGTCATTGGGGCTGGGTCATTAAGTATATTCAAGGCTGAGATAGACAGATTTTTAATCAGCAAGGGAAACAAGGGTTATGAGGAAGAGACAGGAAAGTGGTGTTGAGGATTCTCAGATCGGTCATTGAATGTCAGATCAAACTCAATGGGTGAATGGTCTACTTCTGCACTTGCATCCTATGGTCTTCTGGTCAAAATAACTGTTCAAGTTATCCTCCATTTTGTTCTTTATTGCTAACAATTCTTGACTCTCACTTTAAAATACCAATGCTTTCTTTAGTTACTCTTTTATTTTCTAAATGCTGTAGAAACTCGTAATACTAATTTTATATTTCTAACTAACTTTCTCTCATACTTTAATTTATCCCTTTTTTGGCTAGTTATTCTTTGCTGGTTTTTATATTCTGTTCACTCTTCTTACCTGTCATTGAAATTTTTCTGTCAATTTAATACTATCTTCAATTTCCATATCTACCGCATTTGATGTTTCCTTCTCTTAAAAATTTTCCATTCTCATTGAAGTATATTTTTGCTGAGTGTTATGAAAATATCTCCTTAAACATTTTCCACTGAGTCTCTATTGATCTACCTCTTGACCCAATTTCCCACTTCGCTTAAGCCATCTGGAACTGGATCAGTTTAGGATATCTGGTCGGCATGGAGGAGTTGGACTGAAGGGACTGTTTCCATGCTATGACTCTATCTCTGTTTTCATACCCAATTGCTACTACTTAAGTTTAAAGAGCTAATCTTAGGCCTAGCCGTTTCTCCCTCAAACAAAATGAGAAATTCAAACTTGATAGTTGCTACCTAGACACTCCTTCACTACACAGTCATTAATTAACCAGGTTTTGCTACAAATTATCAGGTCTAGAATAGCCTACTGTCTAGTTGGGTCTAGAATGTGCGGTTTCTGAAAATATTCTATGAACTTATCTTTCAGGTTACCTTTGCCAATATGAGTCAGCCAATTTACATATAGATTAAAATCACCCATAATTATTACTTTTGTCACCACTCTCCTTACAAATCATAGAGTCATAAAGATGTATAGCACAGAAACACACCCTTCAGTCCAACTTGTCCATGCCGACCAGATATCCTAAATAAATCTAGTCCCATTTGCCAACATTTGGCCCATATCCCTCTAAACCCTTCCTGTTCATATACCATCCAGATGCCTTTTAAATGTTGTTATTGTACCTGCCTCCACCACTTCCTCTGCAGCTCATTCACCCTGTCCTACAGTGAAATTACTGTTCAGGAAAGTATAAACTACTATGACAAATGCTTCTTACCTTTGTTATTTTGTATCTCTACCCAAACTGATTTTACATCTTGGTCTTTAGAACTATGGTCAACTCCCACAATTATACTTTGTTGTGGCTATCAGACAATTCATATTTGGGCAGATAACTTACACATTTCGTTTGACATGCTACACACATTTCATAACAGGACTATTATTTTTACTATTTTTGCAACCTTTGGCCTTATCTCCTCACGTATTTTTATGTTTGTACATTCTGTCACTTCCTACCACATTTTGATTATCATTACCCTTACTACTACTTTGATTTCTTGCCTTGTCCCCTCACTTTCATTTATCAGATCTTTTTCATTTGACCCCTCTCCCCATTATTTAGTTAAAAGTCCTTCTACCCCCTAGTTATATGACTTGAAAGAACACTGTTCCCAGCATGGTGCAGGTAAAGTCCCTCCCAAAGACACAGCTTCCACTTTCCTAAGTACTGGTGCTAGTGCCCATTAATCAAACTCATTTCTCTGACTCTAATGCTTAAGCCACACATTCAGCTCTTAAATCTTATTTATCCCATACCATTTTGCTTGTGGCTAAGGTAATTAGCAAGCAATTTGAGGATCTGCTTTTTAACTTAGCACCTAATGGCCCATACTCCCTCAGCAGAATCTCTTTCTGGATCAACCTGTGTTGTTGCACCTATGTGGAACAACTGGATGTCTGTTAGTTTGTTATACATATTTGAATAAAAGCAGGTTAGTTAAGGAAAGCCAGCACAAATTTGTTCAGGACAAATCAGTAACTTGATGCAGTTTTTTTGATGAGATAACAGGGAAGGTTGATGAGATGATGCAGTTGATGTGTTATAAATGGAGTTCCATAAGGCATTTGTTAAAGTGCTGTTCAGCAGAATTAAGGACAAGGTTATAGCTCCTGGAACGTACATGTCTGTAGCAATATGGATAGAAAATTGACCGAAGAACAGAAAACAGTGGATAACATTTTTAGACTGGACGAAGGTTTATTTTGGAATATCCCAGATGTTGGTGTTGAGACCTTCCTTGACTTGATATAAATGAATGACCCAGACATTGTTGTGCAGAACATCATTTCAAAATATGGACACAAGATGTAACTTGACATCTTTGTGAACTGTGAGGATGATTTTGTCGAATCTGAAAAGGCATGGATAGATTGGTAGAATGGGATAGAAATAACAACAGAAAAATGCAGAGAAGTGAAAAGTGATTCATTTTATTAGGAAGAATTAAATATAAAATATATGAATGAAATGTACAATGTACAATGTAAAAGAAAGGGTACAAATCTAAAGCAAGTGCTACAGCCAGTGATTCAGAAGTACATGAGCATGAATCACTAAAGGTGGCAGGACAGTTTGAGAGCATGTTTAATAAAGTGTATAGTATCCCAGGATTTATGAATAGGGACATTGAGTATAAAAGCATGGAAATGATGTCAAAGTTAAATAGAGCACCGATTTGGCCTCAGTTGGAGTATTGCATTCAGCTTTGGGTGCCACTCTTCAGGAAACATGTTAAGGCATTACAGCTAGTGCAGCAAGGATTCACAAGAATGGTCTCAGAGATTATGAGCTTCAATGATGTAGAAAACTGCAGAAGTTGGGAACAGTTTTCTTGGCAAAGTGTAGATTGAGGGGAGATTTGATTGACCTGTTCAAAATTATGAGGGATCTGGACATACTGGACAGAAAAAAAACTATTCCCATTGTTAGAAAGATGGAGAAAAAGAGGACACAGATTTAATTAGCAAAAGAAGCAATGACGACAAGAGGAAAGTCTTTTCATGCATTGAGTGTTTACAATCTAGAGTGTGGTGTGGTGGAGGCAGAGTCAGTTGAGGCATTCAAATGGGATCTGGATTTTCACCTGAGAGAGAAGAATGTGCAGTTTTGCTGGGGAAAGTCATGGGACTGTCTCCAAGTAAATTGCTGCTCTGGAAGGTGTCACAGATATGACAGGCTGAAATGACCTGCTTTTGTATTGTAACAATTCTGTGCTATAAAACCAGGCTTGTTCTTCACTGTGTGTGTTAGCAAGTACATGTCTAACTTTTCATGGAGGACAGCTGACATGTATGTGAATTGATGATTTTAACAACGTGCTGAAGATTGGAAACTAGTTTTTTTTTCAGACAGAGGATTGTAATTTGAGCTACCTTTGTGATCAATGGCTGAAATCAAGTGTCAATTACAAGGGTATGATTTCCCATTGAAGTTCTCTCAATTTAAATCTTATGACCAATAGAAAAATGAAGTAGATACATAAACAGGAGATATACCCGAATTAAATGGAAAAAGCAAGCCAGGCCTTTGGCACTGTCACTTCCTAACAGGAATACGTTCAGAAGCAAAATATTTTTATTAGCTACAGTGCCTTCAGTTGGAAACAGAGGAGGGTTTAGAACTTGTATTAAGCTGATGGATATAAATTGAGAAGAATGATGATCTACTAGATGCCAATGAGGCATGGGCAGACTTTGGTAGATTTTAAAAGACAAACAGTTATTCTGTTGAGGAATATACCACGGATGTTACAAGACTAAAATATTGCAAATTTACTGGGGAAACTCCCTGTTCAATATACGTTTTCAAACCATTGGATTATGCTAAAGGTTCTTGGTTTTGACTGGAGTTAGATCCTGAGAAGGAGACACTCTTTTGGAGCAGATGTCAGAAATGTAAAAAAAAATTCCTTGGAAAACAGTCTTCCAAGCAGCTTAATGGCATAAATTGAAATTCTTTGGTGTTAAAGAGAATGGAAAACTCAATGGTCGGAGCCTCTTCCAATCATTCAGATATAGGGTTTAGGCGTTAGCACAATGAAAGAACTGCAGACAAAAGGTATGAGATTGAGGGCATTTTCGGTAGATTTGCAGACGATGGAATTGAAGTAGTAGTGGTAATAGACAAATGAACTCCAGGCATGCATGTCTGGGAACTGTTAACAGTTGCTTCAGATATAACTCAAAATATCATGATGCGATAAACAGCCCAAATGAAATAGCAGTGTTTTCAAAATGACATGTGACACAGAGAACTTGGAAAGTGATGATGATGTTAATCAGAAACCCAAAGAACTGCAATGCTGGGAATCAGAAACAAAAACAGAAATTGCTGAAAAAACTCAGCAGGTCTGGCTGCATTTGTGGAGAGAAAGCGGAATTAATGTTTTGGGTCCAGTGACCCTTCAGCTGGGAAAAGGTTAGTATATATGCAAAAGAAGGGTAGGGGAGGGGAAGAAGTAAAATATTGGTGGAGATGGAGCCCAGAGAGTGAGAGAGAACCGTTGGACAGATAAAAAAAGGAATGGGTAAGGGTCAGAGTGGGAAAATGAATAGCTGCTAATAGGGACTGTTAGTGGCTGACAATGGGTTGTTTGTGGTAGCAACCCATGTGATGATAAGGCCTGGTGTGTAGGGGTTGGGGTAAGAACGTGGGAGAAGGTGCTCAAGCCCTAAAGTTGTTGAACTTGACCTTGAGTCCAGAAGGCTGCAGTGTTCCTGAGTGGAAAATGAGGTGTTGTTCTTCCAGCTTGCACTGAGTTGTGCTGGAGCACTGCTGCAAGCCTGAAACATAGTTATTGGCCAGAGAGCATGGTGGTACGTTGAAGTGGCAAGCAATTGGAAGCTCAGGGTCTTTTTATGTGGACAGAACATACGTGTTCTGCAAAGCAGTTGCCCTGTCTGCGATTTTGTTTCCCCAGTATAGAAGAGACTACATTGAGGGCAGCAAATACAGTAGACTAGATTGAGTGAAGTGCAGGTAAATCACTGTGTCTGGGTCCTTAGTTACTGAGGAGAGAGGGAGTGAATGGGCAGGTGTTACAATACTGCTGCAATCGTGTGGGAAAGTGCCATGGAGTGCGGGGAGGTGTTGGAGGTGGAGTAGGAGTGGACCAGTCTGTCCTGGAGGGAATGGTCCCTGCAGAAGACTGACAAGGGAGGGGAAGAGAATATACATATATACAATTCCTACAATGCGGAAGCAGGTCATTCAGCCCATCGAGTCCATGCCGATCCTATGAAGCGGATCCCACTCAGATCCACCCATTACCCTAATCCTGTAACCCTGCATTCCCCATGGCTAATCCACCTAGCCTGCACATCCCTGGACAGTTTGGGCAATTAAAATGGCCAATCCACCTAACCTGCACATCTTTAGACTGTGGGAGGGAACTGGAACACCGAGAGGAAACCCACACAGACACGGGGAGAACATGCAAACTCCACACAGACAGTCGCCTGGTCCCTGGCACTATGAGGCAGCAATGCTAACCACTGAGCCATCGTGCCGCCCCATGTCTCGTGGTGGCATCCCACTTGAGGTGGCAGAAATAGCAGCTAATGATCCTTTGGATGTGGAGGCTGGGGGGATGTTAGGTGTGGAAGAGTGGGACCTTATTGCAGTTGTGGAAAGGAAGAGAGAGGGTGAGGGTTGAAATGCAGGTGTTGGGTCGGTGTGAGAAAACATTTATCTCCTATGCAATTCACACTGTATTGAGAATCTTAACATGTTGGAGCTGGAACCTTGCCTACAATTTCAAGCCTGAAAACAAAACTTGAGCAAACAAGGAATATAAAACCAGCTGCCATTTCAAGTTGTTTCTTTTTGTAGAGCAGAGGTGATGGATTTTAGGCTGAAGAACTGAAATGGGCTAATATAAGGCTCTTTCTGTCTCTGCCTCTCAAGATGAAAACTTGGTGCCAACATTGACAGGAAAGAAATATCAGGAAACGGAGAAGGTAAAATTGCAATAATTGCTACTGCTATCTGACTCAAAAGAAGATGGCTGTAATTATTGAAGGTTAATCATCTCTGCTCTAGGACAGTCCTGTGTTCTCATTGCATTGTTGTAGGAGATCCTCAGAATCATGTCCTAGGCCCAACAGTCTTCAGCTGGTTCACCAATGTCCTTCCCACCATCATAAGGTCAGAAGTTGTAATAAGAAGTTAGACCATAAGATATAGGAGAAGAATTAGGCCATTTGGCCCATTGAGTCTGCTCCACCATTTGATCATGGCTGATACATTCTTCAATCTCATTCTCCTGCCTTCTCCCCATAATGCTTGATCCTGTTATTAATCAAGAACCTGTCTATCTCTGTCTTAAATAGTCAGTGACTTGCCCTCCACAGCCCTCTGTGGCAATGAAGTCCACAGATTAACTATGCTCTGGCTGAAGAAATTCCTCATCAAACAGTTCTAAAGGGTCATCCATTCACTCTGAGGCTGTGCCCTCAGTTCCTAGTCTCTCCTACTAGTGGAAAAATCTTCTCCATGTCCACTCTATCCAGACCTGTCTGTATTCTGTAAGGTTCAATCAGATTCCCCCCTTATCCTTCTAAACTCCATCAAAACCCAGAGTCCTCAGCCACCGACAAGCCCTTCATCGCCAGGATCATTCCTGTAAACCTCCTCTGGACTCTCTTCAATGCCAGCACATCCTTCCTGAGATACAGAGCTCAAAATTGCTCACAATATTCAAAATGCATTCTGACCAGAGCCTTATACAGCCGCAGCAGTATATCTCTGCGCAATACTGGGCAAATTGTACAATGTGGGAACAAGTTCATCCAGGCAGACAGAGTGAGGACTGTTTGGGACTTGTTCCAAAAAGTAGTATTTGTCATTCCAGCTGTGGTGAAAAGAGGTGGGTAGGGGCAGGAAAGTGGAAAGTGATGGAACATGTCAAATAAGTTGCAGATGCAATTGGGAAGAAGCTTCTGCCCTCACTGAAATTTTAAAGTACTAACCTGTTACCTTCGATTGAGATGTTTCCCCTTCTCTAGTTAAAAGTTGGCAAATTGGATCCAACTTTCTGATGCACTTGGAATTTTCACCCATTTAATCCACCACCTGCACATAATCCCAACCAAATTTCCTTGTTAAAATTCCCCCATTTTAATTCTGTGCCACAAACCTACTGTGAACTTGCTGTGTTTGAGCTCCTACTCTGTTCCAACGAAGCTCAATACATGTTTATGAGAAAATGCTTTCAACTGTCTAGTTTCAACCTTGGATTTAAAATCAAACTAAAACCACAACTGTCATTCGATCTTTTGGAGACTGGCTAGTTACAACGATTCTGCTATTCATCCTTTTTTTAAATTTTCCTACTCATACAGGAAAGCTTCCCTCTGCACCACGATCTCCAGACCCTGATAATAAATCCCAACATCATCTTGTCTCTGTGCTCCATCTCCAGAGCAATTCTTCATGCACAGGAACGTGTAGGGGCAGCCCTAGACAGACAGTGCTTTGATCTGGAGCACGATGGCCTTTTCAGTATGGTGCCAGTGACAGGAATCCTGGGAACACCTGGGAGTTGTGAGCATGTCCCTCTGTGGTGAGAGGATGGATATAATGATTGGGCACCTTAGAGATCTAGTGTATAGGTAATGAAGTAAACTTCAGAAAATGGCATGAAGCATCATGTTACATCTTGTGGGGCGAAACCTTCTATGAAACCTTGCCAAAACTGATACTTAGCCAATTTCTGGTAAAATTCAACCTAATGTTTCCATGTTCGCTGAGTCCACAACTAATGACCCTGTTTGAAAATTAGAGGTCACTCTTTTGGGAGAGAGAATTTTTTTTTTCTCTCTCAGAGGGTTGTGCAAATTTGGTACTCTTTGCCCCAGAAGGCGGTAGAAGTGGAGTCGTTGAGGAGTTTTAAGATGAAGTAGATAGATTTTTGTTAAGCTATCAAAACTTCTCAGGATTATATCGGAATGTGGAATTTGAAACACAACCAGATTAGCTGTGATTTTATTGAATAGTGGAGCACCCTCGAGGGGCCAAATGACCTGCTCCTGATCCTAATTCACATGTTCTTATGTTTATTTTTTGTTGTGCTTCATCCTCTTCCAGCAATATAAATATCATATCCAGAGGAATTTCCTTTGGGAAATTTGTACAGATATGATGGATTTTGTGAACTTCCCAGGCACAGAATAATCTTAAGTGAGATTTCAAAATGAAAGTAACATGTACAAAAACCCCAAACCTATCATGAATGACTTTCTAATACCACAATACAGCATTTCCAATGGACTATTAAAAATGATCATTCCTCAGCTGCTGCTTGGAAATACCTTTATCGCGTTAAGTACCAGTAATCAGATGATGGAATGGGGATAACTAATATTTTTCATTTGTAAACTTTTAATTTCAATGATTGCATTTTTACTGAGTCTGGTTCGGGTCCATGCTCCCTCAATCCTCAGTTCTTAGCTCATTCGGTTGGATAGCTAGCTTCCTAAGTTGAGTTACTGCCTAACAACACGCGTTCTAATCACCACACCAGCCGAGGTTAGCTTGAAGATCTCTCCGTCTCAACCTTTCCTTTGCCTGATCTGTAATGACCATTGGGTTGAACCGCCAACAGTTGCCTCTCTCTAATGTGAGAGTAGCTGTATGTTGACTTTACATTTACTTCTGGCAGAGCCAACTGTGGAATTAATAAATTGGCCAGAAGCTTTGGTCGCATAATCCACTATAATCTTTAAATCAGAACAAGGAACTGGGGATGCTGGAAATCTGAATGAAAAGAAAACACAGAAATTGCTTGAGAAGCACAGCAGGTCTGGCAGCACGTGTGGAGAGAAAGCAGTGTCGATATTTCGTCCAGTGAGCCTTCTTTAGAGCTACAACTTCAGTTCCGAAGAAAGTTGACTGGACCTGAAACATTGACTGTGCTTTCTCTGCAAGATTCTGCCAGATCTGCTGAGTTTCTCCAGCACTTTCTGCTTTTATCATCTTTAAAATGTTATTCTAGGGTTCTTGATGAAGCTTCTTAAACTAGTTAACAGTCTGTAAAACAAAGCCCAGTTTACTATCAGAACATGTTGAGGAAGCGGCGATAGATTTGGAATTTTTGCTTCATTTTTACTTTAGGATTAGAAATTTTTCCTCAGTTAGAGTTGACAGGAAACTGCGATTAACAGGAACAGTGTCCATAGTTTCTCAGTCAGTTTTTTTTAAATAAGCAACTAAAATTGAGAAGAAAAGGAGTATTTTTTTTTAAGGATAACTGTCCTAATGTTGGCGACTGGGATAGTTTAATCTGTTCTCTCTCCTCACTCCCCTGGGTCATATTTGAATCAGTGTAGCGAATGAATGTCAGTGGAAGTTGCGAGCTGTTTCCTGCTCTCAGAATTCATTTCATACACCCCCACAGTCCGTTCCGGGTTCATCTCAGGGTGATGATCCTGAGGGAACAGCGGATTCTTCAAACTGCCCCTTCCTTCCTGAACTGCAGCACCACCGTGTCTAAGCACAGTCAGAGCTGTGCACTGAGCGATCGTTTCTTCCGAGAGCTACCTTTGAGAGAGGAGTTGTTCAGGTCAGTGCTGTTTCAGGATTCTATATTTGCTCCTTGACATTCCTGAAATAAGATGCATCTGCACACGACACGGACAAAACGAATTACTTTTGATGTAGCCACGTTCCACACACTTGTACCCACCCGGTCGTTATTGAAATTGTTTTTCTTCACCAGAAATGTTCTTTAATGCGGCCGTCCTGGTGCTGCTGTTGGTCGTTTGCTGCGTTTCCTCGCTGGGACTGAACTGTGCTTTCTACCTGAACAGTAAGTAATTTGATCTCACGTCCGCAGTTTTCTGGATAAGCGATGTCTTCTCAGATGGAAATGATATTTTTTGTAAGCTACATTTCCCCTACAATGTGCATGAGAGCATTGTTACCAAAAATGGCAAATCACAGACATTAATTAATTTAAATTAGAAAGACTGCAATTCCGAAAATTAGGACTAAAAGTTCTTAAATTATAAATAGATCTTAAACGACGTCATAAAATCCGACATTTGTTTTAGAAATCCCTTTGATTTATGGATAATAAGTGAGGGATAGTGTGTTTAATGACAAAATAAGCTGCTGTGAAACGGAAAAGTAATTTCCTGTAAAAAAATTATAGTCTGTGGTATTCAGGGTCATTTCGGCCTAGCTGTTCCTAAAAGTACATTACATAAATACGTCAAATAAAAAATATATCTGCAATGATACTTTGTTAGATAAAACCTGAGGCAACCTAAGATTTCTGAGTGCCATTACTTTCTGACTGAATTCTAGTTTCTAAGTACTGTAACTCCAACTGTTTACCGCTAACACCACAATCACAGGCTAGAATTGAGACAATCTTTAGTCATTATCAATAGCTTGCATTTTCTTATTCCTTTAATGTAGAAAGAATAGTCAAGTCACAAGCTAGTTCACAGAAACATAAGACATCGCTGGAAAAGAGCTAAGATTTACAATGTCTTTTCAAACCAAAAACTGTGCTTTCACAATGCTGTAATTCTGTCCAGGGGTTCAGTCATTTTGAGTAGTGAACTGTTCTTGGAACAGGTGACATCACCTGAATACCTCTAAAGGATTCCTACTTTGTATTTGACTGACAGCCACCCAAGGAGACAGGTATATTGCTATGTTTGCATTGTTGTATAGTACTTTCTGTATATCTGTGACAGTAAGTGGCAACAAAATACTGAAGAGACCCCGACATGTAGGAGAGCAAGTCACATGACATTTATCTTCACTGTAGTGGTGTACAGAAAATCTGAAACCAAACAGAGAATGCTGGAGAAACTCAACACGTCTGGCAGCTTCGGTGGGGAGAGAAAGGTATACTGTCTCCTCAGATGCTGTCAGACCTGACCTGCTAAATTTTACAGCATTCTCTGTGTTAACTTCAGTGTAGTGTCAGGTTCATTCCTTAAGTTGAGTCTGGCTGCACGATTAATATAAAACTGTGAGAACTGTGGATGCTGGAGATCTGAAACAAAAACAGAAATTGCTGGTGAAATTCAGCACATCTGGCAGCATCTGTGGGAAGAAACAGAGTTAATGTTTTAAGTCTGGTGACTCTTCATCAGAATAATTCTAACTTGGACTGGACTCAAAATGTTAAACCATACACTCTAGCTTTGGACTCCCTTACCCTGGGGAAAAGACCTTGGTTATTCACTTTATCTATGCCTCTCATGATTTCATAAACCTCCGTAAGGTCACCCCTCAACCTCCTATGCTCCAGGCAAAAAAGCCCCAGCCTATGCAGCCTTTCCTTATAACTTAAACTCTCCAGTCTTTGTAACATCCTTGTAAATCTTTTTTGCACCCTTTTCAGTTTAATAACATCTTTTCTATAGTGAGGTGACCAGAACTGTACACAGTTTTCTAAATGTGGCTTTACCAATGTCTTGTACAGCCGTAACATGATATCCCAACTCCTGTAGGCCTGTGTCAAAGGCCTCTTTGACCTGTCTGTCTCCTCTCCACCTATCTTCTCCTCTTTCCATCATCTATCTGCCTCCCCCTCTCTCCCTATTTATTTCAGAACCCCCTTCCCCTCCCCCATTTCTGAAGAAGGGTCTAGGCCTGAAACGTCAGCTTTCCTGCTCCTGTAATGCTGCTTGGCCTGCTGTATTCATCCAGCTCTACACCTTGTCATCCTGTACACAATGCTCTGACCAATGACGGCAAGTATTCCAAATGCCTTCTTCACCACCCTTTCTACCTGTGATTTCACTTTCGAGGAACTATGTACTTGCACCCCTAGGTCTACCTGTCCAACAATATTCCCCAGGCCCCTACCAGTAACTGTGTAAGTCCTGCCCTGCTCAAAAACAAAGTTGCAGGAAAAGCTCAGCAAGTCTGACAGCATCTGTGAAGAAAAAAATCAGAGTTAATGTTTCGGGTCCAGTGACCCTTCCTCAGAACTTAAGTCCCACCCTGGTTTGTCACAGGCCTCTAGCCTGAACAATAACCCTCTCCCACCACCCTTTGCCTCCGACAGTCATGCCAATTTTGTATTCATTTGGCTAGCTCTCCCTGGATCACATGTGAATGAACCTTACTAACCAGCCTACCATGCAGAACCTTTTCGGAGGCCTTGCTAAAGTCCATGTAGACAATGTCTGTCGCTCTACCTTCATCTATCTTCTTGGTCACCTCTTCTGAAACTCAATCAACATTGTGAGACATGATTTTCCACTCACAAAGATCCTGTCTGTCAGAATCCCCTTCAACAACTTATCCACCACTTGACCGGTCTGTAGTTCCTTGACTTTTCCTTGCAGCCCCTCTTAAATAATGGCACAACACTAGCCACTCTCTACTCTTCCAGCACCTCACCCATGGCTGTCTAAAATAGTTCTGCCAGGGGCCCCACAATTTCTTCCCTGGCTTCCCACAAAGTCCTGTGATACACTTGATCAGGTCCTGTGGATTTATCTACTTTTATGTGTTTTAAAACCTCTAGCAGCTCCTCTTCTTTAATGTGGACTCTTTTCAAGGCTTCACTATTTATTTCCTCGTGTTCCCTAGCTTCCAAGTCTTTCTCCATGGTGAATACTGATGCAAAATATTTGTTTAGGATCTTACCCATCTCCTGTGCCCTGACTTCATCTACCTTACCCATCAGGCCTCTTGCATCCTGTGGCTCCACACATAGATGGCCTCATTGATCATTAAGGTGCCTTATTCTCTCCCTAGTTACTCTTTTGCACTTACTATACTTGTAGAATCTCTTTGGATTCTCCTTAACCTTATCTGCCAAAGATAACTCTTGTCCCCTTTTTGCCCTCCTGATTTCCCTTTTAAGTGTACTTCTACATCCCCTATACTCCTCAATGGATTCACTTGATCCCAACTGTTTCTACCAGACATTTGCCTCCTTTTTCTTGACCAGAGCCTCAATATCTCTAGTCATTGAGCATTCCCTACTCCTGCCAGCCTTGCCCCTCACACTAACAGGAACATGCTGACCCTGAACTCTCATTATCTCACTTTTGAAAGCCTCCAACTTGCCAGCCACTCCTTTACCTGCAAACAGCCTCCCCAGTCAACTTTTGAAAGTTCCTGTTTAATACCTTCAAAACTGACCTTGCCCCAATTTAGATCTTTGACTTGTGGACCAGGCCTATCCTTTTCCATAACTATTTTTAAATTAATAGAATTATGGTCACTGGTCCTAAAGTGCTCCCCCACTATCACCTAAGTTACTTGCCCCCTGCCTTAGTTCCCAAAAGGAGGTCAAGTTTTGCCCCTTTCCTAGTAGGGCCATCTACATATTGATCCAGAAAGTTTTCTTGAACACGCTGAACAAATTCCTCCCACTCCAAGCCCTGAACACTATGGCAGTCTCAGTCAATGTTTGAAAACTTAAAATCCCCTTCTATTACAACCCTATTACTCATACATCTACCTGCAATCTCCCAGCATATTGGTCGTCAGTTTCCCATGGACTACTGCAGGGGGTGGGGGGGTATATATTATAATCCCATCAAAGTGATCACCCCTTTCTTATTGCTTAGTTCCATCCATGCAGCTTCACTGGATGATCCCCCAGGAGTATCCTCTCTAAGTAGTGCCATGATGTTTTCCCTAATCAAAGACACCATTCATCCTCCTGTCTTGCCTCCCCTTCTATCTTTCCTATAACATCTATACCCTGCAACGTTGAGCCACCAGTCCTTTCCCTCCTTCAGCCATATTTCTGTAATAGCTATGATATCCCAGTCCCATGTTCCCATCCATGCCCTGAGTTCATTTGCCTTACCTATCAGGCCATTTGCATTGAAATGGATGCAGTTTAATTTAATTAGTCTTCCTTCATTGTCTGTCTATTTAACTTGCTGTCTTTAACTTCTGTACCAGCCTCAACCTTCTCTCTTTTCTTACTACTGCTTAGAGTCTCAACCACCTGCCAGACCAGTTTAAACAATCCTGAATGGCTCTAGCAAATCTCCCTGCCAGGATATAGGACCCTCTCCAGTTCAGGTGCAATCCCGTCCCTCTTGGACTGGTCACTTCTGTCCCAGAATAGATGCCAGTTATCTGAATCCCTGTCCCCTGCACCAACTCCTCAGCCACACATTCATCTGCCCTATCTTCCTATTCCTACTCTCATCTGCACGTGAGAGTGGGAATACGAGGATAGGCATGTAATCCAGAGATTACTACCCTTGAGGTCCTGCTTTTTAACCTCCTGCCTAACTCCCTATTTTCACTATGCAGGACCTCATCCCTTTTTCTACCTATGTCATTGGTACCAACGTGTACAATGACCTCCATCTGCTCATGCTCCCGCTTTGAGAATTTGCTGCAACCACTCTGAGACATCCTTGAGCCTGGCACCAATTCTGTTTTTGAAAAGCAAAGGAACCCATAGGGAAATAAATGCTAAAAAATATTACCATTGTGTGATATAAATTGAGCATTCTATGATTAATGCTGCCATCTCACATTGAATCAAAAACATTCTAACTGTGCAATTCGTGACTTTTTACTCTGTGGTTTACTCATGGAATAAAACCATTAACATGTCTTTTATATCAGTACAGCTGCTTAAAACAGGCAGGAGTGAAGGGCTCTTGTGGCACAGTGGTAGTGTCCTTGCTTCTAGGCTGTGGAGACCTGTGTTCAAGTCCTACCTACTCCACAGGTGTGTAATAACATGTCTGAATAGGCTGACTGTAAACAAAAAAAGAAGCAGGAATCTTGATTTGTAAATGTGTGCCCACTCTTTAAAAGATGTCTATTTAGTACACATCTTCTTAATTTTCTCTTGGTCCCTCCACAGCTAGCATTAAAAATCAGTAACATATGTTACAAGACAGCCAGGACTTTGACAAGAATTAACTGTATTACAGAATCATGAGAAACTGGTGACAGTAAATACCTCCAGAGATGTGTCAAAGTAGAACATTTTTCTCAGCTCCAGTACTTTTAAAACCATATCTTTTCTTTTCTGTAGGGAGTCTAAGTGGTGTTTTTCATTATGATCAGAGAATTCGATATTCACTTACTTTCACTGCTGCTAAACTCGCTTGTGAGCAGCACTTTGGTGCTGTAATGGCAACAAGGGAGCAGCTTTACACTGCCTACCTTGCTGGACTAGAAGAATGCAGAGCAGGTTGGATTTTGTCAGGAGAAGTTGTATATCCAAGAATACACAGAAACTGGAATTGTGGCCAAAATAGAGTCGGCATTATTTCATACGGAGTTAGGAAGAACCTTTCGGAAAAATGGGATGTGTATTGCTATAAACCTGGTGATGACTGTTCTGCTTATAGTAAGTCACTACAATTGGAAGATGATACTTCTGACAGCAAATCAGTGAATCTGTTATTGGGATCAATAATGCCTTCTTCTTGGAATAATGTTTCCAAGAAACAAGAAATTGCTAAAGCAGATCTGACCCAGATTCAAAATAAAACAAATCAGTTCCCTAATGTGGCAATACCAAGCTTTCATAACAAACAGACTAAAGACCTACATGACACAGAAACTTTAACATCAGCTAATGTCACTTTAGTAGAAACCTCAACAGCTTCATCAATCAATGGTTCAGAAAAGAACAACTTTAAGGAATTGATGAAACCATTTTTAACTGAGAACTTTATTAAAAGTTCAGATAATAAATATTCGCCGCAAGTGGAACAAAGAGATAAAATTATTGCAGCTTCTCAATTAAGTGTAAATTGGTCCAAGTTTGAAATAATGAACAACTTGACAAATGAGACCAAAAAAGAATACTATTCAGAAATGACAACCAGTTCAATCACTACTTCCTCTAAAATAAATGCAGTGAGATTGCAACTTCAGAATGTGACTGTCGATAAACCTGAAAGCTCAAAAAGAGATGATGATTTGGGATATAACAACTTTAAAACCCCTCAAGTTTCGCTTAGTCATAAAAGTAGCCCTGATAGAAGAGGTGTTCTGTCCATGAATACATCATATCAACATGAAATCACAACTATCAGGCACCAACCTCTTAAACAAGTTAAACAAGTTAATAAAGTTACTGTGACAGAAACAGATCTAGAAAGTCTTGATATTTCAAACGAATTTCAAAACAATACTCAATCAGAATTAACAAATTTGTTGTTACTCACACATTATAACAAATCCTTATTTGAAGGTGAACAAGGTGGTTTGAATGAACTGACATCCACAGAATTTTCTCAACAAGTATTAAAACATTCTTCTTCAGTTTATGAAGATCAACAAGAGTCTGTGGAGATTAATATCTCCACAGTGACTCCTGAATCTCCTAAATATGTGATTACAAGTAAAACTCTGCAGCCAAACAATCATTTGGTGACAGAAAAGCAAAAGTTTTCATCTCAAGAATTATCAGTAACAACAGTCTCAATAGAAGCTGATGACAAGTTAAGAAGGCCAGTGACAAATACATTTGAAACTGAGACATTTCCATTTGTCACAAGTACTATAGCACCAGGACTACCCTTAGAAGAGGCTATTATTGACACAAAGGATTCACATCGTCAATCCATCTCAAAACACAATGGAAACTCATTGAATACATTAGGAGAGTCCTTTTCATCATATTTGGAGGGGAAAAATGAATATATTGATGCAATTAACAGTACACATTCACTGGTGAACCTGAAGAAGGTTGTTATGGAAATGGGGAAAAGTGATAAATCAAATTTACCCTTCCAATTACAGGGAAATTTTAAAGAAGGGGAAGTAGATCTACTAGACACAGTTAATACAAAAGGGGAAAAAGTTTTGGAAAATGTTGTTAAGGATAGCACAGTCCACCAACTGGCACCCACTATGCATCCGTCAGCTTCACAAAATATTGTGCCGAAATTGGACAGTACTGCATTGTCAGGGGTGACCACTAATGAAGATAATTTTCATCCTATCACACTTAAAGTAGAAGGCATTTCATATCCTACAGAAAAGAAACAGAACCACCAAATTGATTTAACTGGAGATGAAACGACCTTTTCAGGAACAAAAAGTACTTATGAGGCGATGATGAAACATCTGCAGATATATGGTATAGCTCTTCCACAAAATGTGGACAAAAAAATGCAGCTGGTTACATCTAGTCAGGATGTAACAGATTTTCCAGGGGCATCCAGTACAAGCACACATGTAGATCCTATCACATTCAAAACACAAGACTTTTCACAAGCAGCAGTGTCCAGCATAAACCAACCAGGAAATGTCAATGTAAAATCAAACCTGTTTGTAAATAATGATAAAGAAGAATCATTTAGATCCAGAATGAATGATGGGATTAAGCTACATACACCAGTTACAGACAATTCAGAATCACGAGCAACAGTGACTACAGAAAGAAATGTATATGTAGATGAAACCAGCGAAATAAATATGTTCCAACCAATTGCTTACAGTACAGATCGCACATTTGAACCGTTGCTAACTGTAGATAGTTCGCTCTTGTTCAGAATAAGTACATCCTTAGATCAACTTCAGCACTCCACAGACAGTGAAAGGATGGAATTCACCACATTCATTGGAGAAAGAACATTTCAACCAACCAAATCCAGTGGAGATGCAAGAACAAGTCAGAAGAATCTGGCCTATGAGAAAGAAAGCCTAAACAAAGATAATCTTCTTCAGACACTCATTCGCTCCCCAGGTGATATACCACAATCCATCACTTCTAATGCAAAAGATAAAACTCCTGTAAGTGTAACGAACACTAAGAATTATTTACACATGACCAGAAAAGATGGCAAAGTTCAGCCTGTCATCGACAAAGATACCAGTACACTCCAAGTAGCTACAACTATCACTGATATCTTGGACCCATCACTTGGTCTTAGTAAAAAGAGTGCGGTGCAGCAGAATTCCTCTGAAAATGTTCAAGAAGCCATTGCACACGCATTTACTGGAGTATATGGAGATCAGGTTGTCAAAGGCACAGAAGGGGCACCATTACCAAAAGAAGAAACTGGTCGATACTATGCATCACTTTTAACTGATGGAAAGACCCTTCCCTCATTCCGTAGAAAAAGTGTTGCCAACATCACAGACGTTGCCACTGATGTTTTGTCCTTAGCTGCTTCATCTATAAGTCCTGTTACTATGCAAACGCCTACAGTGCATTCGCCATTAAATCTTGAAGACTTGTCCATATCAGCTTTTCCTGTCATTATCACAGAAATACCACCAAGGGGAGATAATGTACATTCATCTACTTCTTCATTTTTAAATCCAGGTAAATGAAATTTTATTTCAAACTAAATAAATGTATTGTATTATTATTTTTAATTGTAAAGCATCGATTTACAGTTAAATCAATCAGATATAAATATTTCTTTTGATCTATAGCCCTTTCTGAAAGGTTATAAATTATTCAATGAATATGGGATTCTAATAAGCAACCCTATTCTCTCTAAACTGCTCTCAGATATATTATTTATTCCTCATGATCTTTTCCATAGAATTGTTTTTATGAATATTATCAATATTATTGGATTCAATCATTCATAAATATTATGCTGCCCTGGTAAAAATCGTCATTTTTAAATCACAAAAATTTCAATAAGCAAGTTTGGACAAACCTCAGCTTCTGTTATTTGACACGATATAAAAGCTGTCATTGTTAAATGATAATTAGTTTGGGGAGACAATGGCCTAGTAGCATTATTTACTAGACGATCAATCCAAAAATTCAGCTCATGTTCTGGGGGCCTGGGTTTAAATCCTGCCATGGCAGAAAGTGAAATTTAAATTCACTGAAGAATCTGAATTTCAGGGTCTAAAGATGACTATGAATCCATTGCTGATTGTTGGAGAAACCCGTCTGGTTCACTAATGTCCTTTAGGGAAGGAAATGTGTCAGCCTTACCTGGTCTGGCCTACATGTGACTCCAGACTCACAACAATGTGGTTGATTCTTAACTGCCCCCTGGACAATTAGAGATAGACAATAAATGCTGGCCTAACCAAAGATGCTCATATTTCATGAGTGAATAAAACAAACTTTTGGTGTATCATTTGGAATGTTTTGGACTGATGTTAAATAGTTCATAATGTAAAGTATGATTGAATTCACCCTGTAAGCAAGCCATAAATCTCCTGGTGCATATCCTTCATGTGGTGGTGTGATGAGACAGACTGAAGGAAGATTTCAGACACCACACTATCCACAATCCTACCCGAGTGACATGGACTGCACCTGGGAGATCGAAGCTCCTCTTGGATATCTCATCCGTTTGGATTTCACTTCCTTATTTATCGAAGAACACAGAACGTGCAAATATGATTATGTGGTTGTTTACGATGGCAAGGGACCCGACAAAGTAGAAATGGGCAGGTAAGAACTGAAAATTTTGAATAATGAACAAAGAGGACTGTAAGACAGAGCAGGACTGTTCTAAAAAAAAATCAAGTAGGATGATAAATAATGTCAGTAAAATGGAACACTGGTTTTCGGAGTTTCCTGCAATGTGTGCCAGGATTAACTGTTATTCAAATCTGTGACCACAACTACCTCTTATGCTGCAGCCCAATGGTTTTATTGTTTCTTTGGCATTTCAGAGGCTGCGAACTTTAAATGACCACGTGCAGCAAGATATGAAATTAAATATAATAATCCGGCAATTTATGGATTGGCACTAGAAAATGACCATAATAAGACTGGAAGGTGGAGGAAACAAAGATTAGAAAAATAAAAATAAAATTCTTGGTAGTGCACAAGGATATATACTTCAGTGCAAGGAAAATAGAAAATAAAACAGACAAGCTCAAGGGTCAGATAGAAACATGGCAGTATGATATCATAGCTATTACAGATGAAAGACAAGATTAAAAAGGGACAGGGAATGGCTGCCTGGTTACAGAGTTTTCACATTAGTTCGTGAAGGGTTAAAGAAAGGACGGGGTAGCAATTTTGTTTGAAAAAATAATTACAGCTGTGAGGTAGGATGATATGTTAGGAGGATCGCCACATGAGGCTATATGAATTGAGCTAAGGAACAAAAAAAGGGCTATAACACTGTTTGGTGTGTAATGTAAACTCCACACAGTCAGAATGATAGAAGAACAAATAAATAAGCAAATCTGTGAAAATGCCAAAACTCGAAGGCAGTAATAGGGAATTATGACTGTGCAATATTAACTGGGCTAGTTTTAGTATAAACTGAATGGAGAAACAGAATTCTTGAAGTGCGTTCAGGAGAACATTTTTGGCCGGTATGTAGTAAGTCCAATAAGTGGGGGACATTTTTTTTTCAGAAATGAAGCTGGTGAAGCAGTTGCAGTGCTGGTGATGTGGTCTATATGGATCTTAGCAAAGAAATGATGGGTAGAATGGCCTCTTTCTCTGCTGTAGAGAGATAGTAGGAACTGCAGATGCTGGAGAATCCGAGACAACAAGGTGCAG